GCGTTATCACCCAAGCCTGCTCCTTCAGTGCCCTTCATGTTTTGTTTCTGCTAAAACCCTCTGATCATGAGATCTGGGATCACTTGATGAAACTTGGGTATCCTACAGACTTGAGACTTCAGCTTGGTTGGTTTGTCTCTAAACAGTCAAATCTAAATGCAAGTTTCCTCTTAAAAAACACTTCCTACCAATGTCCAAAAGCCGCCAAAGCTGAAACAATTTGAGCAACAAAATGAATAATGAGAGTATTGGATTATAAGCACAGAATAAAATAACTATTTGTAAGTGCATACTTAAATAAATAATTGAATGCATTAGTAAATAAGGGATGAAGTGAACAGTAGAATTCTAATCAATACATGTAGAAGAAATAAGATAAATAGAAAACCTTAATTAGGCCAATGCTGCAGTAGTAATTATTTCAGATAACATTCACCAGTGGATGCTAAAATCAGAGGGCCCAAGTTTGTGGAGAAACAGGATGTTTATACAGTTTATTTATTTTATTTTTTTATTTTTTATTGTTCAAATACATTTGTCTCCATTTTGCTGCCACCACTTTCCCCTGCCCCCCTCCCTATACAGTCTCAAAATATTTTCTCCCAAGATTATTAATTGCAAAAAGGAAAAATAGTACCATTACAGTGAAGAAACCTCACCGACACCCCCTCTAACATGGTCGAGGCTAACATCTCCAGTGATAAGACATGGACATTATGGACCCTTGGATTCAATGCCCTGCGAAGGTGTATTAGGATTCCCCAGAGAAAAAGACCAATAGCATATATGAAATTTTTTTTTTTAGTATAACGATTTAGTATAAGGAATTGGCTCATGAAATTATGGAGGCTGACATGTCCAAAGATCTGCAGGCTGAGTTGGCAAACTGGGACCCAGGATAGCTCATGGTGTAGTTTGAGCCTGAAGGCCAGCAGGCTTGAGACCCAGGAAGAGCCATGATTTCAGTTTGCATCCAAAGGCAGGAAAAAGCCCATGTCCCAGTTTGAAACCAGTCAGGCAGAAGGGATTTTTTTTCTCAGCTTGGAAGAGAGTCAACCTTTCTGTTTTATTCAAACCTTCAACTAATCAGGTGAGGCCCACCCACAGTAGAGAGGGAAATCTGCTTTAATTAGTGTACCACTCAAAGGTTAAACTCATCCAAGAACACCCCACAATAGCACTCAGAATAATACTTGACCAAATAACGCAGCACTCCATAACCTAGCCAACTTGACACACAAAATTAATCACCACAGAAGGGTCCGGTATTACTTACGTGGTATTCCTGCCAAAAATGCATGACCTAATATAATCATAAAAACCTTAGACAAACCCAGATTGATGAACATTTTACAAAATAACTGACTGATATTTTTAAAAAGTGTCAAGGTTATAAAAGATAAGGAAAGACAACAATTTCACAGGTTGTGGAGACTGAGGAGACACAACAGCTAAATGCAATGTGAGGTCCTGGATTGGTTCCTGGATCAGAAAAGAACACTATTTGAAAAACTAATAAAATTTGAATGAAGTCTATAGTGTAGTTAATAGCATTGTATTAATGTTAATTTCTTAATTTTGATAAATGTACTGTGATTATGTAAGATGTTAATATTAGCGGAAGCTAATACAGCAACTCTGCTATTTTTATAACTTTTCTGTGAGTCTAAAATTATTTTGAAATAAAAAGTTTTAAAAAGTTTCCTGCCATTTGGTACTCTAAGGACTTTTTAATAACAGGATATTTTTATATTCTTAAAATTTATAACCATTTTGTGAATATACACATATAATTTTGTATCTGTCACTCATTGTTTCCACAAATGATAAATTCCATTAATTTTGTTTGCTAGAAAACACTGAGACTTTTGTTATTTCTTTTTCCCCTTATATTCCATATTCCTTTCTGGCTAAAGTATCTTTCTGTAAATATTCACAGCTTGACCCTCTTGCTGTTCCATGAATCTTTATCTCTGAGATGATGGCCCACTTGGCATATTGGGCAGAGCAAAGAACATTGGGCTAGAAGTCAGGAGGCCTGCGTGCCAGCATTCTTAGTTGGGTTCTGTTATTAACTAACTTAGTGTCCTTCCAGTTTCAGTGTTCTGAGGCCAATGGCAAATTTGGGCTGAATATTACATGTACTAGTTCATGTATAGTTTCAAATGATTATATTTTAAAATTATTTTTTCTTTTTATCAAGGTCCTATGTGTTCTATTTCTAGGTTTCTGAATTTTCTTTTTATTCATATACATTTATCCGCTTGTCTTTGGATTGTACAGTGGACTTCACAATTCACAGACTTTATTCTGGCATTTCCCTGAGATGTTTTAGCAATTTGAGGAGATTTATGTTTTGTTTGTTTTGTTTTTCTTCTTTTGATTACAAAGAAGCTCCCCTCTATATTACCTTCTCTGTGAAATGGTGTGTAGGCACCCCTTCTCACAATACTCTTTAAAATTCTCTTGTGGCTTCCACCTGGTGGGCTTCCCACATGCAGACCCTGAGTGGGCTGAGCCATGGCATAGTTCCCCGGGGCAATGGCTGGCACACCCCTCCTGTACTTGCAGGATGATGGTCCAGGAGCTTGGGCCGGGGTCCCTCTGCCTACCTGCATCACTGGTGCCAGTAGGGGTGTGGCTGAGACACGGAGCCAGCAGGATGCACCATTAAGAAGTAACTAACACTCTTGAGGACAAATGATATACTTCGTTTTTCTTTGTTCTTTTTCCCTGGGTAGTAATTTTCCCTTGTATTCCCAGTATTTGGGTAGTAGGTTTAGATCCCAGATTAAGACTCAAATGATGGAGAAGTTGGTTGACAACTGAAAACACCTAAGGGCTCTAGCATGGACAACTTGCTTTTGTCCTTACCGCAAAAGACAACTCAGTTAGGTCCAGCAAATTGTACTAGTGTAGGTTATTCCTTGGTCTGTGCGGAAAATAGAGTGGAAGAGATTTTTTTAAAAAACATCTCCAGCTTCATAGAGTGGGCTTTTTGTTGTTTTACTTTTTAAGATTGAGATATAATTGACATATAATATTGTAGAAGTTTAGGGTATACAACTTGTTGATTTGATTTACGTCTCTACTGCAATATGATCGCCACCACAGCGTTCACCAACACCTCCATCAACCTCCGGTTCATGTGCGCCAATCCGTTCACTTGCATTCCCCTCCTGGCTTATGCATTGTCACCAGATACTTAATTTTCTCAGCTTGCCTCTCAAGAACTGGGCAGATATTTGTAGAGTATAGCAAGTAGAACTGTGCCTGGCATGTAGTAAACACAGTATTAGAGTTTGTGGATAAAAATAGGAGATTACACTTACTTTTAAAGGGCTCTCCATTAAGTTGGGAAGAGAAAACGAACACAGGAAGAACAACCAGTATGTAGAGCAGAATGGAGAAAATGCCACTCGAGGGGCCTGGATGAGAAGAGGCAGGACCTCTCTGCTGTGTGCTCTCCTCAAGATATCGCATTTGATTTTTTCCCATTTCATGGTTCAAGAAACTGAGGTTAATGGGCATTAAAAGACTTAAAGTTCTCTACGGTTGTACATGTAAAAGTGAAATTTGAACCCAGGGCTGTCTGAACTGAAAGCTCCTGTTGCCACCAAATAGATGAATGCAAAAAGCTTCAAAAGGAGGCTAGAGCCAGACCTTGAGGGATGAATGGGATTTATCATGTGTAGAGAAGTGGGCAGCACATGGGTTTTGGGGGACAGGGAAAGGCGTAAACATAGCATGAGCCAAGGTGTAGCAGTAGGGAACATAAAGTGTCCTGGATATTGGGGGGTGTTCCCTAGATTTGCTAGGGAAAGGGAGGAATGAGGGATAAAGCTGGATCATGGATTGGAGGCAGAGTATAATGGGCCTTGAATTCCAAGTTTGGATTTTATTTCATAACCACTTTTGTAAACCATTAAAGGTATTTGTGAGAAAGTGAGTGATATGATGAAAGGGTATCTTGGAGATTTAAGTTCAGGGGTATGGGATGGACTGGAGACCCAGATGGACTGTTATCATGACAGCTGATGTTTATTGAGTCACCCAGATACACTGCTATGGGCTTTGCATGCATTATGCCATTCATCCTCACAGTAGCCCTAAGAAGTGTGCCCTGTTAATATCATCCCCACTTTCCATATGGGAAAACTGAGGCTTTGGGAGGTTAAGTAATGACCAGACTCCCACAGTGAATGTCAGGATGAGAACTAAGTGGATCACTTCCACCTCGGCTGCCTCTGTGTGCTATAGCACCTGACAGCAGCCCAGGAGACAAACTTGGGGTGATTTTCATAGGTCAGATGTGAGAGTCAAGGTGACAAGGCCTGAGCTAGGTCACAGTAGTGGTGGAAAAAGAGAGAGGGGAGCAGCATCCTTGTATAGGAGCCTGATTCTGGGGTTGGGTCTGTAATCTGGCAGTTTTTCTTTAGGCAGTGTTTCCCATGGAAGCTGGTGCTCAGTGGTGAGAACCTTGCCAAGACCTACGGGTATCATGGAAGACTATGCCTCCAAACTTCTTAAGTAGCTTAGGCCTCTGGGTTTTCCCATGGAAATGTCCTAACTTGACATTTAGAGTAAGTGCTGAGGCTGGGTGTGCTTGACTGGGGTTACTTTGAGATGATTTAAGCAAACTTCAGGGGTTCTCAAGCTTCAATCCCTAGACGAGGAGGTCCTTCCAGAGGCTTGAGGGTGATTGGTTGTCCCTTTTTTCCATAAACCTCTTCCCTTATCTATTTATCTTTGTATCTTCCCAGTTACTTCCCTGCTTTGCTGTTGTATAGGTTGGTACATATCACAGAATTGTTTAATTTGTTTTACTTTTGTTTCTAATTTTTTTTTTTTTTTTTAAGAAAAAAGGGGTGCATGCATTTTGACTCTGCAAAGTGTTGGATTCACAGTTGAATGGGCATGTAATGCAAGTATGCGGAATGTCCTGTGATCATGTGGGGCGGTGCAGGCCAGCAGTGACCTCTCTGTTCTGTCTGCTGCAGGTGATAAGAAGTACATCATGGGCCCCAAGCTCTCCACTCTCGACGCCACTGTCTTTGGACACTTGGCGCAGGCAATGTGGACCTTACCTGGGACGAGACCTGAGCGGCTGATCAAAGGCAAGCACTACGAACCTCTTCAGGTTTTGACAGTTGCTGGGACGGTGAAGGGTGGGGTCACACAGTGGAGGACTCTAGGCCAATGCCTGTGAGCTTGCCAGTGCTTTAGTGGAGACACCAGGCTGTGGTACCCAGGGCCAGGCTCATTTTTCTGTGCTCAGGTTATGTACGGGTGGAGGAGAGACTGGGCTTCTCACCTGCCATCCTGTTCACATTGTGTCTGGCAAAGCCGACACATGATGCCAGGTTCTGCACCAGGGCTTTTCTTCTGGCACCTTACGCAGTCGACTTAACGCTTGTTGCTGAAGCAGGGCTTGAATTCTACCCAATGCCCTTGTTTTGTTGATCTTTGCTACTTTTCTTGGCACAGTGGGGTGGGGATGATGGACTGACTGCCTGTCTCAGGCGCTCGTTTTGTCTTGCTGGATCTTTCATATATCACACGCAGGTCAAAGTATGTGATTCTGTCCCATTTGAGTTCAAAGCCCTCCTTTCTCCTATTGCAGGGAAGTGTCTATAGATCATACAGACAACGAGGAAAACGTCGATAAATGCTCTGTAAATCTGGTGCTATGCAAAGTATTATTGTTAATGTTATTGTATGTACATTTTGACCAAAGGAACACAATCTTGTGTCTTCATTGTGTGGTCTTGGCTGTGAGAGCGGTGAGAATTGCAGTTCTGGGCTGGAGGGATAGAAGTGGAGATGAGTGGGACTTGAGCTAGAGGCTGGGCGTGGGGGTGGTAGCCAGGAGTAAATTTCAAGTTGCCCCAGGGCAGGGAAGATCAGCTCAGCTGGGATTGCTGTCAAGGGACCAGACCTTTGTGTGTGTGTGCACACGCCTGTGTGTGGTGGAGTGGCGTGGTGGGCTAAACAAGGCAGTCTGGGTCTCTGGGGGAGGCTCCCCTTCCATCTGTGGGTGGGACTGTTTAGGGTCATCTCCAGTTTGAAGCAGTGTCTAAACAAGTTCCCCGGGGGACCGGGGATGTGGGGATCCAGGTTCAATATTTAGGTTTGGGGAAGGGGATTGACCGGAGTTAATCAAGGTGTTTATGGCCCAGCTGAGCAGGCTGGAGGTGTAGATGAGATCACCAGTGAATGGCAAGGCAGAATCGTGCAAGAAACTGAGGCAGGTGAGCAGCCGTGTGTGGTGATGAGGGGTGGGTGGGTGGCGAGGTTGGTTGATGAAGGCGGTAGCTTTGTGCGTGTGTACACACTCATGTGCACTCAGGCGCATGCCCAGAAGTTCAGAGCAGGCTATGGAGTCACTCTCCTGACCCTCCTATTGGTGAGGCTGGGGCTCCACAAACAATACCAGGTTTGGTTGGAATGGTTTAGGCATCGATTGGAGGTCTTCTGGGACTTCAGCTGAGTGGGGCTAGGGATAGAGTGGATTGACCATCTACTTTCTTAAATGATCAGCATGGAGATGTTCCTTGTCTTGTGATGCATTAGAACGTACCTCATTGAATACGTTATAATATTGGTGATAGCTTTTAAAATGTTAGCTTCCTTTTTTAAATCACAGTGTTCTAAATTATATTGACTCCTTTTAGTTCATTTAGGAGTGTGTTTTATATTCACTCTCCCTTCTTGTTATTTCCTACTCCCTCTCTCTGTTCTCTCCCTGCAACCCTTACACACCCACTAGCACCCCCCCATCTACTTACATACTTTTATACACACCCACCCCACACACACTAGCTTGTACACATAAACTTATACTGCTGACCAACCCCATTTGTGTGCATGTGCGCACACATACACATCCTATGCATACACATATACCCATCTATTGAGCTTTTTTGTTACTTAGTGAGAAGCATTTAGGAATCCATCATCAGTGGCACTCTCATATTCTATAGTGTCCTTTCTTAAGAAATGAAGCATCTTTTATTAATTTATTGATGACTTGGCCCTTTCTTCTGATGCTTCCCGGATGGACCTGAAACATTTAGTGTTCTTTTTGGAGAAACAATCAGCCTTTTTGGAAGCTTGATTTGAGTCCCAACCTGAGACACACATTTGGGGGCATCTGCCACCATCATTTGTAGGGAGCTTCTGGCACATAGTTGCACGTGCTTTGTTTCTTAAAACAAGTTAGTAGCTTCCAGTTCTCTGTGGGGATGGGGGTAGCATGAATTATTAAAGTGCAGAGAGTCTCTAAATCTCACTTGAGTCATTAGGCCCAGGCTCCTTCCGAACCTTTTGATCCGAACTGCTAATATGCAGGCACACTACTAATTTGGTCTCAACTTATTTCTCTGCTCTGTGTGTGTGTGTGTGTGTGTGTGTGTTGGAGACTTTCCCAAGAAGTAACAAGAGAAAGGAAATGTAGAAACAGCCTAGAGCCTGAATAATTTACAACTGGCTCAAACCCCAGGAGTGTGAATGGCTTGGATCAGGCAGTTTTCTGCCTTAGCTTTGGAACACACGTGTGTGTGTGTGTGTGTGTGTGTGTGTGTGTGTGTGTGTGTGTGTAAATATTAGCTTTTGGTTCTAGATATTTATGATATCTGTCACACAAGCTACTTCTGGAACTATCTAGATTAGTGAGAACAATTCCTTAATTTAGGTTAGTAAAGGACAGGCTATGAATATTCAGCAACTCTTAAAATATTTATGTGTTTGTAATAATAAAATATTATTTCCTTACTGAAGGAAATTTAGAAAAGATAGAAAAGTTAAAAAAATAAAAAAAGCAACTTGTGACCCCATCACTCAGAGAACTGCTGTTAATATTGTGGTATGTATCCTGTCTTTTATTAAGTGCATGTATGTCTATATTTTTAAAAATTGGGATCATGATATTGATACAATTATTACCTGCAGTTTTTAAATAAACTATGTATTATTGCCATTTCTCTTGTCATTAAATGTTCTTCAAAACAATATATTTAGTATGTGTATAATATCCTATTCCTATAGCTACATTGTAATATATGTGATTAGTCTTTTTTTCTGGGCTGTGGGTTACATCATATAATTTTTACTAACATTCTGTAGTGATTATTGTATAAATATATATTCCTGTTTATCGCTGGTTATTTCCTTACATTTCAAGTTGGGAAATTACTGTCTCAAAAGGTATAAGCTCTTGATCTATATGGCTAAATTGCTTCTAGAAAGACTGTTGCAGTTTGTTCTCACAAGCATTTGAAGCATTTAGAATTTTGTTCCTCAGTTGGTTAAATAATTTATTTTGAAATTTTTGCCATTTTTATAGTCAAAAAGAATCTCAATTTTATCATCACTAATACTCTTAATGAGGAGTCAGATTTGATATTCTGATCAAGTGTCCTTGTTAGAGAACTGCACATTGACTTGGGCGCTCTTTAACACAGACATGGAGAGGCGAGAAAAGCGCAACCAAAGCAGCGGAAGGGAGAGGGCTCTGCGACGCCTCTGCTCGCCCTGCAGAGCCATATCCAAACCGCAGCACCTAGCACGGTTTTTCTGAACTTGTAAGAAATGCAACCTCAGTGTTCTAAGAAAAATCTTGATCAGCAACTCTTTTACCAACAGTTATTTATTGCATTTTTTTTTGCTTATAATTTAATAGATTAAAAGGTGGAAAAAATGCTGCATATCCTTGGAAAACATGTAAGTCCACACTCGTACTGTTCTCCATCTCGACGTGCCCAGGAAGCGGTTGTTGTGGGACATACAGGTCCCAGCAAAGGGCTGGCTCAGATGCTTTTTGTGGGTCTTCGTATTTTAAAGTCTATGAATTAGTGTACTTTGGCTTCAAGGGGACGAGGGCAAGGTGGTGTCCTCGTTAGGGCGTTTAAGTTTGCTAAGGACCTTTCTAAGAGGATATGCTCAGTGCCCTCCCTGCCTGTGTGCCAGAATGCTAATGGGAGCAACCAAGGGCACGCCAGTACCTCACATGGGTGTGGAACCGGGAGGTGCTGAGTAAACACCTGTAGATCAAATGAGTGTATGGGGTTGCCAGCTCCATGTTTTCCATTTATTTGCTGGCTAATGTCCAAGGGCTGAGCAGGTGATGCTGGGAGACATGGGCAGGCTTCTTCCTCACTCACCTTCCTGCTGTGCATGATTGGCAGCAGGAGAAACTGAGTCCTTGATTCTGGGTCTGGTTGACGATGTTTTCAGTGTTAAATTGTACAGAATGTTTTTGAATATTAGAGAAATTGGAGTAACATGGGAAAAATAAAACACGTCACTTTTTTTCAGAGAGTGGTGGGGGACATTTCCATTTGAGGAACTCCAAGAGAAAAGTTCTTTATCTGGGAGCGTGCTCTGGTTAGAGGGCCATTTGGCTTTCTGATAAATATTCACTTCAGGTGTTTGAGAATATCACTAATCACTAATTAGTATTTTACTAATTTATTTTATTGGATTTTTATTTATTGTCATAATAGTTGAATAATACAGGTATATTTTTAAAGATTTATGATCTCTTCATCCATGTCCAATATCAGCCCCTATGGAATAATCAGCTATTAAGGATTTGGAGTAAATCCTCTGTGTCTTTCTTTTTTATCTACAAATTTATATACACATATATAGCTGTTTTGGTTTGGTTTTACTATCTTTAAATTAAATAATGAAATTACATTACAAACATTACATGCTTTTATTTTAGTAGAAAAGATTCCTAAAAGTGGTTTGATACATACATTTAAAATTTCAATAGACAACATCAGGTTGCCTTCCAAAAAAGTTGATGGCAATTTAGGCTTCCACCAGCCATGCAGCACAGTGCCTGACCCTCTACATTTGGATATTATTAGATTTTAATTTTTACCAGATGGATGAAATTATTATCTGATTGTTGAGTATACTTTGACAATGCAGTTTTTCTATTGTTTCACAAAGTTTACATCTTCAATACAGGCATTTATGTTAATATTCACCCCTCCCCCCCAACTCTTCCTCTCATACGCCCCATCCCCATATTGGGGAGGGATGGGGCGTGTGAGAGAAACACACTACAATCTGTTTCCACTGACAACTTTTTTCTATTCTTTTGGCTGCTAAGCATGTTGAGCAGGTCTGCTAAGGAAAATCTAGGCACAGGAAGTATTGGCAAAGCCAGATAACTGTAGAAGTCAATTACAGATTTTCGCTCTTTTTATAAGGGGAAAGACATGGGGTTGGGTGTGTGAGCTCCCAGTCCTTGCTTATCAAAGCAAACCCTTTCTTAGCTGCATGATAGACTAATCGCTTCCTTCATGACAACTCATTATCTTCAAGGGGCAGCATCTTAAAATTCTTTGAGACCCCAAAAAGAATTACAGAAAAATATTCTGTGACAGATGGTGCAAAGCTGCTAATTCCCAGGCCTGACTGGCAACACACCAGTAGACAGGCAGAGTCAAGGCGTAGTGAAGGGCAGAGAGCCTGGAGACTGCTTGTGTTTGATTCCTGGCTCTGCCACTATCTAGAACTTGACCTTAGTCACCTCTCTGTCATAGTTTTCCCAGTGTTTCCTGTCTGACATAGGATTTTTGCGAGGACTGAGGGGGTTAAATATGAATTCGACAAATGAAAACAAGCTGTTCAAACAGTGCCTGATACACAGTAAGGACTATATGTGTGTTTGCTGTTCTTACTAATTTTTATTATTGCACAACTGAAGTGGTAGTGTCACACAGTCATGAAGCGGGCAGGGATCCTGGAAGAAAGGTAAAGTAACAGACTGTGGAGAGAACAGCCGCAAAGGAAGTGGGTAGAGTCACAGATGGTGTTGATCCTGTGGATCTTGTGATGGATTCTGACTTTCTAGGAGTTCCTAGGGAATGGATTTGACTGAGGCAAACAGGGCTCTCCCTAGACCTGTTCTGGAGTGGCCATAATTATTTTTGATGTTTCCTTTCGACCCCCTTTCTGCTGCCTCCATGTCTTTATCCAAAGCTTGGTTACCTGGGACTGGCAGCTGTAACTGGTGAGGTGTACCTCATGGCTGTTTCCTTGGGGGAGAAAATAAGTGAAGAATTTGCATGCATCTTTCCAAAAGGGACAGTGACATTGGCTTTTCTGCTTCTGGCTTCTTAGTGTGTACATAAAAATCCTCAAGTAGGGAGCAATAAGAATGGACTTATATAGTGTGACTTGAGCTATTATGATCTGCTGGGACTGAAAATGGTGACCTGGAGCAAATGCTAGAACAGTGGTTTACAGGATCCATGAGGCAGGGAGATTGGCTTTATTTGTTTTTGTGCTTTGCTACAATATATATTGTGCTTTGTAGGGGGTGTGTTTATTTAAGCAGAACAGCAATCAGGTTTTGAAAAACTTTAATGACATGGGAAAACATTTGCATTAATGTTACAGGAAGTAATAGGTAATCATAATAACGACAATAAACAAATAGGGAAAAATACTGAATTAAAAGACATCAAAATGTTGATTCTGATTATCTTGGATTGATGGGATTATAGATCCTCTATGTTTTCTTCATGATTTATAATTTCTCTACACAGACTTATAATTTTCCAAAACGGGAATATATTATTCTTTGATAGAAAATAAAATAGGTAAGTTATAGATTATAATTAGTAGTACTATTCATACAGAAACAACCTAAATGGGCTATGATAGGGGATTGGTAATAACAAAATAAAACTATAGTACATATGTATAATGAAACACTATGCAATTATCAAGGTAGTGTTAGTGTGAAATTGAGACATTTTTGTTATATATTGTTGAGTGGAAAAAAGTAGAATAAGAAACAGACTATGTAGTAAATGTTACACAGCAAATGTAAATATATATAAATGTAAATATATTCTGAAAGAATGTAAATGTTACTATGGAGAATGGTATTATTGGTAATTCATTTATTTTTTTGCTTATCTATATTGTCTAAGTTTCTGCAATAAAATGTGATTACCTATCTACTTAATAAGTGGATGGTTATAAACCTTATAAAAAGTAAACATCCAAAGAATATTTTTAGGGCAATGAAGTCTTCTAAGACACAATGACAAATTACATATTTATAAGCAATATTGCCATCTGGTGGATTAAAGGCAAAAACTCACCCTTTTTCGTCCTCATTTGAAATGAGAAAATGAAAGCCAAATACTCATGTTTTAGACAAATGCCTGGATGATTTTAGTGACTTAACCATGCATCCCTTTGATTCACATGAAAAAGAAGTAGTTCAGTCACTGACTGAGAATACAATTGTGGGTGCAGCTGTAAAATTTAATTTAAAAAATTAAAACATTATCTGCTTTACTGTGGGTACTACATTCATCCAAGAAGGCAATTCTGAGTTATCCATTTTATGGATTATTTAGAGCAAAGTTTCTGTCCTAACATAACATTTCTCAACCACTTGGCATAGTACCCAACCTATAATAATACTACAAATATTTGTGGAAGGAATGATTACTTCCGGTTCATTTAATCCAATTGTCAGTTGGTGTATTTCCACGGATTATGAATTAATTTAAATATGAACCAATGGAAGCACTAGTTTTCTTGATATACAAACATAAAATGTTAAAATACTTCACAAAACCAAATTATGATAGTTTAGCCACCATTTTGGATAAACTACCCACTCCCAATTTGCCATCACCATAGGACTCACTCCTTAAGTTCATCTGACCCCTCGCTGAATTTAGCTTTTCCCATTTACCTTTCTTATTATGTGTAGAAAATCTAAATATTTTGACAGTTCCTCTGTGGAAAACATTTTTAATGTCTACCCCGCCCCATTCTTTCAAATTTCCCAGAAAGCCAGGTGGCGGGCCGATGGTTGCCTTTGAGAACTAACCCTCACTGTCCTTACCACACTGCAGGTGAGCTGATCAACCTCGCCATGTACTGTGAGAGGATAAGAAGGAAATTCTGGCCAGAGTGGCACCACGATGACGACAACACCATCTATGAGTCCGAGGAGAGCAGCGAAGGCAGCAAAACCCACACGCCTCTGCTGGATTTCAGCTTTTACTCAAGGACAGAGACCTTTGAAGATGAGGGAGCAGAGAACAGTTTTTCCAGAACCCCAGACACGGATTTCACTGGACACTCGCTCTTTGATTCTGACGTGGACATGGATGACTACACAGACCACGAACAGTGCAAGTGACGTTCAGCCTCACCGGCCCTTTTCTGCTGTGGCTGCCACTCCCCGGGGCTGGTCCAGTTTCCCAGGTGGAAATCCATCCGAGCTGGAGGGGATCTTTGTGCCTGGCACAGTTCTCACAAGCTAACTGGACTACAGCAGCCTTATTTCTTTTTTGTACAAACAAAACACAGAACCATTCAGATGGCTCCATTTCAAATACACAGAATGAACAGGCAAAAACAAACAAACAAACAAAAAAAAGTCAGCATGGTTCCTGAAATCCACTTTTGTTTTCATTTGAAAACCTATATTGAGAGGTAGACCCAGGTATAAGAGCAGGTTTTCCTCAGATTGTTTACGCTGATCCTCTTCAACCTGAGGGCTTAGTTGTGAGAAGAATTCTTGAACGTCCTTCATGCACCAGGGTTTGAAGTAATGAGAGATGTCATCAGAAGAAATGTAGGAGATGAATGTTCTATGGCTGCTTGTATTTTGTATGTATATTGTATGTTGAGAGAGAAGTCCAATAAAATCCATAGATATTCAGTGAACACCTACTATGTGCAAAGCACTGTGCTAGGTGCTAACCAGTATAAGTTTTTTTCTAAGCCCTGCTGGTGACTAGCTGTGTGATTTCAGGCAAGTCTCTTAATTCTTGTGTGCCTCATTTCCCCACCTGTAAAGTGGGGCTAACAATACTCTCCACCTACCTACCTCACAGGGGTGTTGTGAGGATTCATGGGGTCACATTTGGAGCTTTAAACCTCTTAATAGAGGTGCGACATAAACACAACATTTTATTCTTTATTGTGCTTCATACATTTGAAGATTTGAGAGCAAAGGAATTCACATTCAGGCAATAGCAGCCATAGTCCCTCGAAAAACCCAAGCAGGTGGAACACACAGACACAGTTGGGACTCTGTCGTCGTCCCTCTTGTGATGAATTGAAATTTTTTGTTGAAAAAACCTTGGAAATATTTTTACAAATCATCAACAGCTACAGGTGGTCTTTAATTATGTATTCTTGCAGAAACGCCTTTCTTTCATTGCCTGAACGCACACTGGAATGTCGTCCTTTGCTGATTTCTGCGAGTTAAATTGCCTGTGTTTGACTTCTTTGGCGGGAATAAAGCTCAGGAGTATGATGGGCTTAATGGAGGGGTAGGGGAAAGTATTTGATTGATTTTTGTAAGCAGAAGTTTGCCAGCTCGTAATGTCTTTTTGAAAACACGTTGCAGGAGATAAAAAGCAGGAGGAGGAAGAGGATCGTGTTACTAGTATCAAAGCACTTTGTGCAGTGTAGACTCTATGCAGTTACATGAGTGCAACTTTTCTGGAGTTCTCAGCCATGGCCTAGTGAGAAGAAGACAACGCTGAGGACAAATTTTAATGTTTCTTAAGGGTCTCCCATTCCCTCCCCATACTCCTCCCTTCCCTAAGGGCCCATGAACTCTGTATTTACTGTACATAGTAAGGCGCTCTATCTCTGAAGACACGGTTTTTGTTGATGTTTTTCCATTGAAGTTTAGGTTGAAGATCCTGGGGTGGTGGCTGTAGATTTGGGCTAATAGAGTCAGTGTTAAGATTTACAGCTGCAAAGAAAACTGCTTTGTTTCTGATTACAATGGACAGAATGGGTAAGGATTATTCATTATGGGCTTAAAGAGGCATTTCTTAAAAGACAGCATTTTCCTTTGAGAAGTTCTTCAAAAAGACTCTTTGAATATAGCTTTTGCAGAACAATCCTGAGATGCTGTGGATTCACAGAGATGAAGGGGGCAGTTTTGGAGGCTGTTTACCATTTAAGCAACTGTGTAAGGGAGATGGAACAGTATGAAATGCTGAGATATCCTATTCTTCAGATTATTTCGTTGTTAGTATCTTATTAAAATGATTTACTTTTGAGAGGACTGATGCCTAATGAGAATGTAGTGGCGAAGATATGAGTGGATAAACCTGTTTTTTTTGTCTCCAGTTTCATGTGGGAGGACTATTTGCTGCTTTTTTCGCTAGTAAGGTGTCCCAAGGCCTGCCGGAGATAGTTCTGTGTGACAAGGGACGCTCCAGACCTGAAAATGTGAATGTACTGAGCAGATGGACTATGGAATTATCTCCACAAAGACAAAGTCACCCTTTTTCCACCCACAGCTGGAAAGAGTTGTATTTGAAATTTTGCCCACAATTTATTCTTCTTGTATAGCATTGTTTGATGTATCTCCACTCCAAGAATGATTAAGTTATGAGTCTGTAGGTTCATAAACACATATTTTTCATTGTGTTTTACTTGGAGGACAAGTACACGGAGAGCCAACCTTCTAAGTGAAGTTGTGGAACGGTTGGTTCCATCCAGGTAACTCCAACAGGAGCTCGAATGGACATTGTCACCAGGAGGCTTCGGTACTGGCCTGCCAGCTCCTGACTGCAGCATCAGCGTTGTGTAGGTGCAGTTTAATCTGGAAATCTAGAATATATTCAGGTTTTACTTTCCCAATATATGTTATGGAAACAAAACAGCCAAGACAAAAATCACTGTGGTGGGGAACGACTTACACAGTTTTTATTAGGAGAGCTTTAATTTTACGTGGTTCATTCTTAAGCTATCCAGATTCGAAGCGTTCTCCAATTTGGTGAACAGGTGCTACTTATTAGAAAAATTAACATCAAGAAATTAGGGGACAAATTGGTCACCTGGCTCACTTGTTCCACTTCTGTGTTTCTTTTTACTGGAAAGTCACTTAAGAAAATGTGCTCTTTGATGTTACCTTGTGTTTCTGGTTGGACAGAAGACCCATAGGCCACTTGTTCTCTTTCACCTCTAATTGTGATAACAAATTCTGCCTCTCTGTGCACTTCCCTTTGCCCTCCCCACCTCCACATGCCAGGATTAATGAGCAAGCAGTAGTGTGTTTTGCATATATCAGAGTAGATACAAGGACAATATAAATTTATGCAGAAGTAAACTATATTGTTAGTTTACCGTTTTGTTATTGTAACATAATGAATTGTGAACAGTGACACTACCAAGGCCATGGGCTACCCAGGAGACTGATCACAGACTTAGAGCATCTGGGACGTGCATCGCAGCAGCTGTCTAGTCCTCCAATGAGCCCTGCTGGTGTGTGCTGGGGTACTAGGATATGCTTTTGTGAAACAGGGTTCAAGAAAGGTAGTGTTAAGGATTAGCCTCATGGGTCTTGCTTGGATTACTTGAGAGTGTTGAATCATTGAAATGGTTAGCTAGGCCATGGATTAGCTTTAGGAAGCCCCTAACAAGAGAGCCCTGAGGTCATTATTGACTCAGTGTCACATAAATATTTATTTGCAAGGCAGGACCAGGAACTGAGTGAGATCTTTCACTTTGCCTTAGATTGTTCTTGTTATTATACCACTTTGACTTGATTTCCTTTTAAAATACACACGCCCTGAGAGATCACTCCTAGAAGTTCCTAGAACTAGCACACCCCCAGCCTCCCAGAGAGTGATGGGAATCCTCCACCTTTGTCCCTCATGTCTGTCTAGCCTGATCCAGGCCAATTCAAGAGACCTTTCCTCAGTATCTACTCTCTGCAAGGCACTGCTAGGCTCTGTGAATGACACCAAGATTGATTTCCAAGTCACCAGTACTCCTCATTCTTTGTTATTTATCTTTTAAGCATCCACACCCATCTGCTCACTGTCCACTGGACACCTACCCTGTGCCTTGCCTGCAGGTCCACTGTATTGAATGATGAACAGAGCAGACATGAACCGCGCGTTCAGCACATCCTCTTCTGGCTGGCTGGACCTCTGCAGTAGCCTCCTTTACATGCTTGTCCACTTCCCAAACCCATTCCACCTACCACCACCAGGTCAATCTTTGTATAAAGCTCTGGCCCTCATGGGGTACCATATTACCTCAGGGTGAGGGTCATTTCTTAGGGCGGGATGTCCTTACCTCTTTATTTACCTTTTCACCTGGAGCTCCTTCATGTGAGCCTTCCAGGTGCATCCAGGTTGGTTCCTGTGCTGTGGCCCAAACATGCCTCATGTGCCCCCACTCTGTGTCTGTTCATGCCAGTCCCTCTCGTGAAATGCCTGCCCTTCCTCTTCACTGGCCCAACTCATACCCACCTATCAAGGCCCAACTTCACTGGTTCCGCAAGAAGGTGTCTCAGCTCATTATAATCTGCCTTTCCTCTGGAAACACTACATTCATCATTCCCTTCCCTGAAGGCTGCGTGGGAAAGGTGTGTTAAGAAAGTGGGCCACAAGCTAGAAAGCAGTGCTTTCAAATTTTTGTGTCTAATGAAAGTCATATACCCTATTCCCTGAAAAATACACATATGCAAATATGTACAATTTACATACAAGTTCAGGAGATTCAGAAACCTTTTGAAATTATCTGTGGATTCTTTAAGGAGTTCATGAACCCTAGGTGAAGAAGCTTTCTTCTAAAGAGCCTGTAAAAATTGTTGTTAGTGTTCATTCTTTCTTGCCTTTAACATATCCAGAGAGGAGAAAAATTGGCATGGGATGTGCAAGCAGAAGTAATCTCTTATTTCCCTGTTGAGTATGTTCTGAGTGACAGGAAGGAAAGAGGAAGAGCTGGCTTGCTTTAATTGAAAGAATAACTTTGTTTTGACAGATTTGGCATTTTGAAAGTGATGGGGTTTTGTTGTCACCATTGTCATTTATCCTTAAACATCCAAAAGGTTGATTTATCAAAATTAGTTGAGGGCCAGGTGAGCTTCATTTGAGCCCTGAAACCCACCGCTTCTGCATTGTGCGGGCAGGCTGACTGGCCTGCCACTGAGGTGGGAGGGAAGAGGCTGGATTTTTCATTACAGGAAAAAGGTCTGCACAAGCAGGTTTTTCTGTATTCATTCATTCACTCATTCAACAGTTGTTATTTTCCCTAAAAGGATAATGACTTTTGTTGGTAGGAAAAAGTCAGGTTTTCTTCTTTTCCCCTCCCTCTTCCCTTCCCCTCCCCATCCTCCTTCTCCTACTTCCAGGGTGAATTTATTTTCGTTGCTCCTGACTATGACGCAGATTGTTCTCCTTTCCACAGTGTTATTTAAGTTGAATAAGAACTGATGGCAATACATCAATGACAAATACTTCTGAGTCAAAATGGTGAACTCTGGCCACCCCTCTTAACAGATCTAGGGATCAATTGCACGTGATTATGGAGTGCTTGACTTTGATTCCATTCCTTCCAGTGGTTGGATAAAATTTCAAATTTTCAAAGTTCAAAAGGGTCCCCTTGGTGAGTGAGGCAGGAGGTGCCTCTTGCCTGCAGAGCTCTTGCTAGTGCCAGGATTTTCATCGTTTAAATTCTTCACCAGAAACTTAGATACTCAGTCTTTGACTTTAAAGAATATCTTTATTTTCCCCCCTTACCTGAGGACATTTTTTTCATTGCTTTTTTAGAGAGAGGGAAGGGAGAGAGAGAAACATCAATGTGAGAGAGAAACATCAATGTGAGAGAGAAAAGTTGATTGGTTGCCTCCCATACCCATGTGGACCAGGGACTGAACCCGCAACCTCGGTATGTGCCCTGACTGGAATTGAACCCTCAACCTTTCAATTATGGGAGAATGCTCCAACCAACTGAGCCATACCTGCCAGGGCTTTAAAGAATATCTTAAAGATATTTAAGGTTTCTTAATCTTCAAGATAACTTGAGCCAGCCACATATTGGCCTTGCTCCTTAGGGAAGGTTACAGAGAATACTGAAAAACTGTAAAGAAAAGCAACTCACTGACCGTGACCACCTCAGTCATTATGGCTCTCGCCGAAGCAGAGAGCTTGTCTTCACAGCATAGCTCTCCGGCTGCTGCTGGCTAGACCATGACAAATTAGGATGCTCACATTTTCAAGGAATTTCTTCTTCATTAGGGGCGACATGTTCGTGTGACTCCTGTCAAAGTGATTTATCATCAAGTAATCCATCTCATGGGATTATGCTGATTGTAAACACATGTTTTTCCTAGTGATCTGCACCATGCAGAGTGTCTGACAACTCAAATGTGGATGATGAGGGTGATGGTTCCTTGATGGTGATGGTGGCAGAGTTGGAGACCCCAGTCCTTTATTGGGTGGTATTCAAATTTCAGTGAGTAGGAAGAAACAAAATGACACACTGGGGCTGCAAGCAGCCAGGGGTATGGCTGGGTTAGAGGTGTGTCAGACACATGGAAGTTTTCTAGGTTGTAGCATCTTACTAAAGTACAGGTTTTAAATAAAAAATACAATCTTAAGGAAGGGTGGTGTATGGATGTACAAATGACTGGTGCAGGAAGCATTGCAGTAACGTGATCTTTCTCACAGTTTATATTTTCATGCTCCCGGATCGTCCCAGCTGAAGTGGCTCCTGGGAACCGGGGAAGCAGCCGAGAGTGGCCAGCCCCAGTGTGTTCACGCCTGTGGTTCTGCAACTCCCTTCCAGCCTCTCAAAAGTGTTTGTGGCATATAGTTTTCATTTTATAAATATGAAATGTACAAAGTAATGTATATTTATTGTACAGAAATCCTTTAAAATGTTTGGAGAAACCCCAAATCATCCCTATGTAGGCAATGGTCTCCAATCCTTTATGCTCATTCACCTCACCAGTAAAACTTCCTGAGCATGCCCCTCAGCATATTTGTTTATCAACATACACTTGCTGCTCACACTGCTGTACTTATAGAATATGTACATTGAAAACCATGGCAAACATAGAAATTTACAAAGAATATTCTCCTGCACTCCATAGAGAAAGAGACAAGGGTAAGCACTTAGGGTAGCACCTAGAAGGCTGCAACGGATTAAAGAATGTTATGTACCATTTGTGGCAAAGTGGATGTAAAATAAGCATGAATGCATGATTTTAGGTCAAGGTATTTCATTAGTTTTACTTTATACAGGCGTTTTTGGTTAAGGGAAGAGAAGATGTCACCTTTACAAGATGTCATTTTAATTTCGTTTTTGGAATCACTCAATCTAGAATGTCTTGAAAATTTCTGAAAGATTTCATAGACACTGATTTAAGCAAAACAAGAAAAGAAAGGATGGGAAAAACCCCAAATAATGCGAATGCAGGATGTCTCGCCTGAGGATTTGAGCAGCAATCTTAAAAACATGTTTTGATAATTCCTGATTATCATCATCTCACTGATATGCCTGTCTTCTATTTGTTTATAACCTCGTGTCTCCAAATGTGTGCAAAATGTACATATTCATTTTCAGATATCTGAGATTGGGAAGGACCACTGTTGGTATTATTGGAACCACATTTCAGCTGCTTGGGGGCTGATGGGTGGATGCTCCCTGGAAACATTTACCTGCACCATCTGTTTTGCAACACAATGACTAGCATCTTGCTGGATGAGGGCCTCAACATGGAGGTAGCATTCCGATGTTTATTTCTGAACCTATGAATTACTTTAGCACAGTTATTGTTAGTAGTTTATAAAGCCATATTTAAACTTGTATACTTGATTGTAAGATAGATTTGAATTGTGCACTCTGTTGATTACTGTATATAAATGTGGAAATTCTGTATATTTGGTCTGTATGTATTTGATGTGTAAATGATAACTAATGGATATGAAATAGCTTTCTGTGAATGTCTTTATTCCAATTCACTTCTCTTTTGCAAATTTAAATCTTTAAACTTTACACCCATGGGGAAAATAGGAAATTTTTGCTGGGAGAATATTTTAGTTGTAAGGCTCTTGTATAATTAGAACAGAGGCAATGAATTTTTTAGGCATATAATTTTCTGACAGAATTTCAAATTAATGTTTTTTAAGTGGAAAAGCAGGTCTTTGAATATGCTGTCCTACCCTCTCCTGCCCTTACTTTATACCCAGTGTGTTGCGCCTCAGAGCGCTCTGAGGAGTGATATGTACTGGTAGAGGGAAGGAAAGGAGAAGGAGCGAGCAGGCCATGTTATCAAGACCTTCCCTGGCTGTGACCAGATAGCTCAGTTGGTTAGAGTAGTGCCCCTATACACCAAGGTTTCAGGTTTGATCTCCAGTCAGGGCACATACAAGAATCAACCAATGAATGTGTAAATAAGTGGAACAACAAATCAATGTTTCTTTCTCTTTCTAAAAATCAATAAATAAAATTAAAAGAAATAAAGACCTTCCCTGTGATAGGTAAGCATATAGTAAGCTAATTTCCCTTGCTATAAATATTTCAGTTTTTGTACCTCTTCAATCAAGAAATTATGATTCCCATTTTACAGGTGAGGAGAGAGGCTTGGGGAGGTAAATTAGAGTAATATGGTTAAGATATGCTAAAATATCTTAGGGACAGATTCACAGAGAGGTTTTGGAAATACACATCTTATTACCATTTCACACATGTGTGCACAAACTGAAGGATAGCTGGGCATAAGGGCATGTTGGGATTGAGACATTCCAGACAGTTTAAATCAAATCTACAAATTTGACCAATTGTTATTCAAATATTAACTCTTACCCTTTAGAGCAAAGTACAATAAGGTAACATCCAAAGACATCAACTGCCCAAACCATGGGACTATCTGTTAAGTAGAAAATAAGAGAAACCCCTAATCATACTTCTAGAGATACTAGTTTATTTTTTATCCTTTTATACCCCCTTTCTCTCTTGACCTAATAAATCCCAACTATTCAGTCCTGCTTATTACCATAGATCCTTATTGGAAATGTTTTGGGACAAACCTATATCTCCTTCAACTTAAGTTGACTCCAGTTCCTTCCAGGACTCAAGTCGGAGGCACTCAAGCTTGGCATCGGTCCCCTTAGAGAAGCTTTGTTCTCCTTGCTTTCAGAAGGCAGCAGAGGGAGGGAGGTTGTTTGCCTTTCTGACACACTGTGCTCGCTGAAGTGCTGAGAGAAATGTTTTGCTGCCAGTTGTATTGACTATTCCATGAACTGATTTTTCATATTTTTGTCTTTTCCGTCAGAGGAGAGGCAGAACAGTTGGAGTCCTTGCCCGCCCAGGGGCCGCCCATTTTGTTTGTAGCGGATGCCACTTTTGGTACCCGCTGAGCACTTACCAGCTGGGTCGCTTCCCCTTAGCAACAGACTTTTCTTCTAAATTCTGTCAAGGTTAGAGGAACTCATCCTTTGGATGAAAGGGAACTTTGGAAAACAAAGAGGTAATTACTGTGTTGCTGTCCTGCATGCCTAAGAGGTACCTGGTCTACTTTAGTGGCATGTTCTTGTGTGAAGACTTAGGGAATGTCATCAGTTGAGGGACATTAGGATTGGAGGTTTGCATACCTCGGGGGGTGTTTGGCCTGGGCAAGCACACTGGATAACTCGTGCTCACCACGCATCCAGGTAAACCCTGATTAAAACAATATCACGGGCAGCCTTGAAAGGGAGGAGAGTGGAGGAAAGGGCTGTGTGTGGAAGGGAGCGGCCCTAGCCCTTCCCTGGCCCTCTTGTGTCCCATGTTCACTGTGCGGAAGCCCTGCTGCTTCCTTTTCCACCTTGACAAGTCTCCCTCCACTTTAGCTGGCGCATTCAAAGGAAAAGAACAGAAATTTGAAGGATGGCTTGAGGATGTCAAATAGTCCAGATTTGCTGGTGGCGCAAGCATGGGAAAGGGAGGCAGACTGTTATGAAGTCATCCCTTTGGGGTGAGAAGGGTTTTTGAGCAAGGGACTAAGACGAGGAAAGAGTGAGTAAATAAGATTTATCTGACAGCAATGCGGATGCGGGACTCGTCAGAGAAGAAGCTGCAGCCCAGCGACTGGAGCTGATCTCAGGGTCTCAGAGGGAAGAGAGAGGTGTGAGACGGAGGTGGGCTGGCATGGGGTGGGGTGGTGGGAATGTGGAGGGGGAAAGAGCAGCCACGGAGCATGTGGGGACACAGAGACGCTTGGATGTGGGGAGCAGCAGGTGGCTGG